AATTCCTTGCAAAAACGGATCCAACCATTTTTAAATTATTTATTTTTCTTCTAATCCACAACACAAATAAATATTTAATTTCTGTACTTAGGCCCATGCAGTTAGACTGTAATCAAAAGAAAAAATATATATGCTGGACGTTATACTCATGCAAACAGAACACGCAGAAGTGAAAATGACAGGCCTATGAATCACCAGTCATCCTTCTTCGGTGAGTCAAAGTTCCATCAAATAAATAGAAATAAGCAAAAAAAGAATGGAGAAAAAGAACAGATTCTCAGCTGTATTGGAACCAGGACCCATTGCAGAACATCATCCAGACAAAAAAGAGAGGCAGAAGTTTCTCCCAAACAAAAGACGAAGAGACTTGGATTTATTTAGGCGCCATGAATTATTTATAAGTCCAGGTTTTGTTCCATTTAGGTTGCCGGTTTTTCTCCCTTTCTTCTCTAAAACTCCTTTTCCGTTGTTAAGAAAAACACTCCGGCGATCCGTGGAAACGCTCCGGAAGTGAGCAAATGGATCCTGGAGATCATGTTCAAAGGTACAATCTGGTTGCTGACATGCGATAGCTAGGGTCGATAGCGTTTGTTGATGTTCACCAAATACAGTACCTGTCGAATGCTTTTCAGATTTATTTTTATTTATTTTTTTTTTTTTTTTGTGTGTTGCTTACCGTTTCGGAGCTTTTTTTTATTGAATTTTGCGAAAATGTTTGCTGAGCAAACTTCAGCTCTGTGAGGAAATTCACGTTGATTGATTTCGAGATTCTGGCAAATATAAAAATAAAAAAAAAAATGTGAAGAAAAGGCCTACAATGTAAGTTGTGACAACTTCTGCGTCAGACACGAAAATTGGATTTATGATTGCATCTATTGGAAATGTCAAAAAACGGGATGAAAAATATTAACTTAGGTAAACGAATGCGTAAAGGGAATTTTATTTGAAGAAGAGTTCTGTTGCATTAAAAATGGCAGGCATAGCATTCTAAGTTTATAAAATTTTTCTAAAATGTACATTCAGAAACGAATTTCTATTGACAAGTTACCGATAATTAAAATGAGACTATCCCACTGTACAGACTATGTATTATACCGCAAATATTTCCTTAAAGAATATTTTCTTAAAGAAATATTTTCTTAAAATAAATTATAAAAATGACTAGAAGTTATATCAAAAATTCATAGCAAAGTAAATTTAAATTTATTATGCAATGATTTAATAAAAAATAACAATAACATAAGTTGATAATTTAGAAACATTTAAGTTCACTTTTTTTCGAAAGAAACAATTTTAAATATATTTTCAGAATGAAAGCAAATTTCGTAACTGTAAAATGTTTATGTTTCTGTGAAATTATTATAAAAATGTAATAATCTTCTAAAGAAAAAAAAAACAAATTAATGTTAAAGAGATTAGCAATTTTCTATACAATACGGCATGTCAAAAGGATTTATCATTTAACTGTATTATTTGAAATGGCTTTATTGCTTAATACCTAGACAATATAAAATTGAAAGATATTATAATACCCATATTGTTATTTAAAATCTCTCATTGATTCAGAACTCATTTGCATTTTAATTTGATAATAAATTGCATTTCTATCTTTTTTTTAAATACAACAAACTGCTTTCTTGATGGTTTAATAAGGAGTTTAAATCCATTAAATATATTTAAAAAAAGTAAGTATTATTTACGTGTTCTGAAAAAGAATATATTATTCAGGTAAAATGGTAATTCAATTAATAAAGTATTATGTATCTGAATAAATATTTTAAATCTTAATCTTATATAAAGTGTTTTATACCGTAATATCGAGCTGAATTTTCAAAATTTTACTTTGTATGTAAAAGCAATTTTAACGAAGCATTTTTGGTATTTTTTCTTTTAGTAAGCGTTAAATCAAATATCGAAATTTAAAATCTCTTAAAATGATCGTACTTTTTTTAGAATTTTACTTAATTGTAAGGAAACTTTATTATAAAGGATTCCGTAATGAGGAAACTTTCTTTGCTATTTTATAACGATGAATAGGATTATCATAACTTGATCTCTTAATCACAAAAGAACTAAAAGTCTAATTAATAAATAATTCTTATTATTACATTTCAGCTTATTTATTTCAATTTTAAGCAAATTAATCATATTTGAAAACTTAATAAATTAGGTTACTATAATATATAATTAACAGGTTTTTAGAGTTGTATTTAATTCCTTTTTTAAACTTATTTCTCTGCAATTATTATAATTGATCTAATGATCAATAATGAAATATTTATAGTGAGATCTAAATACTTGTAGATGTATGCTTCAACTCTACTTATACAAATTTGATTGAAAAAATTAAACCTTTTTTCAAACTTAAAGCTCGCCTCAATGTAGAATTATAAAAAAATCACAGAGCAATTAGGGCAGAATAAAGTTTATAAAACATTGAAATAAAGGAAATAAAATCAATATTTTTTTCATGTTTAAATTAAAGCAATAATTAGCTCATGGTTAGATTATTATTCTATATTTGCATAAAACTCAATGTAATAGAAACAGAATTCAACTCGATGTTACAAATCATAGAGAGATCAAATTTCTACATTCTAACGAATTTCCTCACAATTTTTGAAAATTTACGACACTAAATTAAAATTGCTGTTTTCTGAATCATCATAAAGTAGTGAGCATTTAAAGTAATAAAAACTGCCAGAATTAAAAAAAAACTCATTAAAGCAGCACACCTAACCGCAAAATTATATTGATAAGGACTTAATATTTGATTTATTTACATATATACTACATGTAAATAAATCATAGTAATGAATATACATTGCAGTGAGCAATGAATATTTTAAGTAGTAAAATATTTTTATTAAATTCAAAATAATACTAATAAAATTCAACTTAATATCAATGAGAGATAAAATTTCGATATAACGAATTTTTTCGCATTTTTTAAACTTTCGAGACTTACATTAACAGAATAATTTCTAACGCTAAAATAATAATGCATATTTTTTTTTAAAGTCCTCACAACGCAATGGGTATTTTCAGTAATAAAAAGTGTCACAAATCAAAACAAGATCAATTGAAGTAAGACACTTAATCGCGACATTATATTGATATTCACATAATATTTGATTTATTTACAAATAAACTAGGTTAACGCAAGATTTTATAATAGACAGAAAAGATAAAAACAAATTTAAAGCAAACCATAAAAATTATAACTATTTGGATGCAAAGAACTCAAAGAATAGCGCTGTAACAATTGCTTTCCGCTTTGCTCAGTTCACTGCTTTTTCCGTTTATATGGTATTCCACAGAGTAAAGATAAAGAAGAAAATAAATAAAATATAAAAGATTTAATTTTGGTGACACATGAAGTGTGTTTCCTTTTTGGACAATGAAAAGCCGACGGTAACTGACTACAGCCTTACAATAGTTTATATATCGTCACACATGAAAGACATTTATTGCTTAGTATAGCTATATAACAGCTATTCTAGTCTAAGTTTTTGCAGAAAATAAATGATTACGTGACTTCAACGATACTTTTATTTATTTTGTGAATATTATATTGCAATACTTATACATGCAATTGTCAATCAACGGAACAATTTGATTTTTCTTTAATTTTTTAATTAGTTTTCCATATTTAAATGCATTCAGTCAGTATTTCTAGTGAAGCGTTTTTGATACTACTCTGTGGTTTGATTTTAGGATTATTTTATTGCAAACCATATTCATAGACCGGACACAAAATAATATTATTTATAAAATAATGTGAGTCCTTGGAATTTTTAAACATTGCAAGTTTTTAGGTTTTTTAGAAAGATTATAATTCAAGCTTTCAGAAATAACGCCTACTGTATTCGAGAAATATGCACTAGTATATTGTTTATTATGAGCAAGCATGTATTACCATATAGTACCAGAAAAAAGTTTAAGACTTTTCCGTTTCTTTGTGACAATGCGTAGTAAAATTTCCAATTTTCGATACAAATAGTATATTTCGCTAGTGTAACATTTCCTTTAAAGTCTATCAAAAAATAGTTACAGATATACATAAAGACGTTGGGTCAATTTAGTAAATACGATAATAATTCATATTAACTTGAGTTATTGTTAAAATATATTGAAAGTTCATTAAGGAACCTACAAATTTTATTTAAATTCAACAATACGAAGCTCGTACAATTTTTTGTGAATAAATTATCACGCTTTTTGAACTTTTTGGTTATAAACTTAGATACGTTTGTTTGGCACAGATTTAAAATACTATATTGTCTATACTTTTCTACATCTATACTTTTTGCAAAATCTCTGCCTAAATTTTATATTAAAATCAAAAATTCATCTTATTCTTAACTATTTTTCAGCCCTAAAGATCTAGCAAACTTGAAGTCTGTTATAAATTGAACATTATTATTAAGTTTTAGTTATTGTAGAATTATAACTAAACTGAACAAGATTTTTCTTAAGGAATATTGACACTATCAGGGAATACTTTGTAACTGTACAAAGTTTCAGTGTATGGATTTAAATTATAACAACAAAGAAAAAATCTAGCTGCATGCTCAGGAAATTTGGAAGCAAGAGGGATTATTCTTGCTTTCTTAAAATATGTCACTACCGTTTAAAAGTAAGTACTATTAATGCTGTATAAAAAGATAAAGTTATTAGAGTAATTTGCAAATAATAGTGAATTCAGTTTGCACACTTGGGATTCTTTTTCAACTTTAAATTGTTGGAAATCATAAAATGCTGCGAATAGTTAAAATTAAAACAAATACAACACTGTAGTTTACACTGTGTCTACTACTTTTTAATTAAATTAATACTGGATTTAAAATATTTGGAAGTAAATTAATGCGAGTTCAGATGTTCATTTTTGAATTATTTAAATTTTTATTTGATAGTTTTGTTGGTTGATATCTGAATTATTTAAAGCTTTAAAAATATATATTAAACTATAAATAATTTAATAAGAAATTCAAACTTACCTTAGGCCATTAACGAAGAATTTCTCAGTTATGTAATCTTTGCAGTTAGAATTTTCAAAGGCTAAATAAAACTTGTATTCTTTGTCAAGCATCCTAAAGCATTTATGGGTTAGAGTTCTTGGACATTTTTTGTTCCCACAAGATCCATAGATATCTACATCAATGTGCTGTCCAAGCTCTTTAGCATATTCTAATCTTTTATTCTTTGCATTGCAGTTCGAAACAAACCAAGCAACTGTCTTCGATTTATTAGCCGCGTAATTGCGATTTTCTTCGACCGCGTACTTCTTTTGACCAGAAACAAATTTAATGCTGGAGTTATAGGGGACAAACTTTTCGTAAGGTGCCACGAGATCTGAATCATGCCTGTAAGTTGCTGTCCAGTTGAAGACATTCTTGAGATTCTTAAAAGCCTGTGTGTGAAGAGGACACTCGAGCAAGAACAAAATCCACACTTGGTGCGGTTTTCGCTTGTAAAACGGCCATAAAAAGCGGTCTTTGAAAAAAAGTGCATCGGCTTGCTCTGCATCCTTTAAAGATGTTGTCAGCTCGCAAGTATTAACAGGGCATTTATCTCGTAAGAATACATTTCTTCCCAATGGCAAGTCATTCCATCCTCCCTTACCAAAATATAATAAAATTTTTTTGAGCTTTGGTTTCTGAATAGATGAAGATGATGCTGTTAATGGCAAAGCTGCAGAAAAGTTCCAACTGGAAGTATAATTTGGCGGCACGTACATAAGCTGCTCTACAATGCGGTCGCCAGAATCCTGTTCTGGCCATAGCAAAGGTTTAGCATTCATTGAAATCGGCTGTGGTCTCACACCACCACCTTTCATAAACCAGAGTTTTACAATAGTTTGATTCTGTCCAGCAACAGATTGGAGTGGTCCAGCCATAATATTGTCTCGTCTTTCAATTTGGTGGTGATTGGGTGCGTCAACATGCCGATAGAAAAGTTTTTTATAATCTGTTGTCTTTTGAGTCCTAGTTGTTATTAGGTCTGATGTTTGGTGGACCCAAGGCGGTGGAGGATTCTCAAACTTTGGTCTACGCCTAACACCGGTTTCGAAAACATTTGAGAAGAAATCATGCTCTGATTTTGGAGGAAACAATAATGCCTGCTGAGAGCTTGAAGTCAAGTTTAGAATAAGGAATGTGGATGATATGACGATGATAATGGTTAATAATAATCGTCTTATGCGTAGTCGAGGCATGATTTAGAGATGAATTTATAAATCATGAAAATAGATCTTCATATGATATATACATGTATAGAAATTTTTCGTATCATTTTGCTGTTGAGTTTTCTTACATTTTTACCGTTTCTTAAATTCTTTGGTTTATTCTACATGGCAAACATTTGAACATCCATCTAAAAAAAGAGAAACAAAATAATTAATATTCAAAAACAAAGGGTCTCAACATTAGTATTATTGCAGTCAAATTATCATGAATGGTCACAAATATTAGAATAATTTCTATTTTTTGATATGTTCTACTGCCACAATGATTAAAAGTTCAAGCTCTCCAATTCTTCAGACCATTGCGTGTGCCACCATCTCAAAAAAAGCATTTTTTTACTGTATTTCCATTTTTTTCTAAATATCTCCTTAAGTATTGAGGCAACAAAAAATATACAAATTGCCATTTTTCATTACATTAAATTATCTACAATTTGAGTTAAATGCAAAGTTATACTAACTGAGATTGAGTTTCATGAAATGTATGAAATTTAGTAGGTATTGTTCGATTTCAATTAAAAGGTAAACTATGCGATAAATTTTATCAGGATAATAATTGTAGTAAAAATGTTTATGTGAATATAGATTCTACATACAATATTTTCGAGCATTTTCAATGATGTTAATTATTCAAAAAAAAAAACATTAAGAATAATATATACATATTATACTACTCTATCTCGCAAAATATTACAGCTACAAGCTTTGTGATGATCTAACATTGTAGATAACTTAGTAAAAAACTGCAGCTTACATATTTTTTGTGACACCAATACTTTTGGGGATTATTAGAAAATAACTGGAAAAGGGCTGAAAATTCATTCGTTTTTATCCGAGATGGCGACGCATGTGGTGATTGGAAGAATCTGAAAACTTGGATTTTACATCTTTATACTAACCAATACAACACCTCACAAAAATCAGAACAACCCTAATTCAATTAACCATTCAAGAATTTTTGAGCCAATTTGACTGGAGTATATGACGTGTTGCAAACTACAGAAAAAGCAACAATCAAAAATCCAATTTAATCCTCTAATGTTATTTTATTTCTTCACCATATAAAAATGTTTTATAGACATGATCTGTATACTTAAGTGTGCATATAATGGATAAAGTTTGAAGCGTCCCGCAGTGGACTGATCGTTAAGACACGGTTCCCAGCAGATCACCGAAGTNATTCGTTTTTTTTTTTTTTTTTTTTTCAAAATGGGGACGCATGTGGTGGTTGGAAGAATTAGAAAACTTGGATTTTACATCTATGTATACTAACCAATACAACACGTCACAAAAATCAGAACTATCCTAATTCTATTAACCGTTTAAGAATTTTTGAGCCAATTTGACTGAAGTATATGACGTGTTGCAAACTGCAGAAAAAGAAAGAATTAAAAATACAAATTAATCGTCTAATGTTATTTTATTTGCTCACCTTATAAAAATTTTTTACAGACGTGATCTGTATACCTAAGTGTGCATATAATGGATAAGGTTTGAAGCCAGCTAAAAGCTTGAAAGATTATGAATTAAAAACGCTAAAATGACAAAATTTAGGTATTCATGGCAAAAATGAGATTTATTTTATAACAAATTTAAAGCGCAACGCATTAAATAAAATTATAAATTATATTCACAATCTTGTGCTGCCTTTTGCCTCTCATTTATTCACAATATTTCAAACTTATAAGGATATAAATATATTCACAATATTAATGTTAAAATTTCCGTAAAATGTTTCATTTAGTGATTAAAATTACCCAATTTAATTAAATAATTATATCTGGTGCCTTTTAAAAACCGGCTAATGAATAGTTCTTTTATTCCGAAATAACTAAGGGATAAAATGACACTACAATACCTTACAACGCTGAGTTAATCGAAAATTTCAAATTACTTCTTTGCTCCCACGAGACAACTTGTAAAAGGCTTAAACAAAACCGAAAACAAAAGGGTTAGTATTTCCCCCGTTCCGTTAAAGAATGTCTGGGTATTTTTAAGAAGCAAAGAATATTTGTGAATAACAATTCCCCGGAAACTGCTAATGTTAAATACTTGTTTCTCTTGCCAGTTACGTGTTGGGTTCACTAATTACATAATCGAAATCATTGTTTTGGGTTGATTAGTTTTCTACCGATTTTTGTTTCTTTTGAGTTACCGAAAAGACCGGCATTTGAATACGGGTTTTGAACTTGCGTCTTCATAAAAGGAAAACTGTATCAAGCTATATATAATGAAGCACGTTTTAATTATAAATTTTGTAAGGGATGTTTTTAATTTATATTTAAATAATACTGTTCTTGAACAACAATGGTGTGGCTTACTGATACAATATTTTGTCACAAACTATGTTACTTATTTGCTCTGCATGTTTGTTTTTGTTTCATAAGAATTCTTATTACCATTCAATACGGTAGTCAAACTAGAATCTTCTTCTTCGCGTATAAATGTGAATATTTCATTAAAATAAGGTTTTGAAAATGTGCAAATTTTATTAAAGTAATGTTTATATAATGTTTCATTAAAGGTTGAAATTTAAATAACAAATGTTTGATATGAAATAAACAAAGTTAAAGAATTTTTTGATATTATCATATACTGATATAGTATTTATTTTATCGAAACCAAACGAAAAATATGAGAACCAGATTTTTTTTAAAATCAGAAATGTCATTAACATACAGTTTGGTAATTTTACCCGAATTTTTCCCCCCATGTGTCAAAAAAATTTTGAACACTGTAGAACCATTGAGAGTGTAATAAAGAAAAGTTATTTTCTTGCAATTTATTTCTGAGCAGAGGGTTTTAAGCGTTTAGACGACTGTGCACTTCATGTCTATATAGATATAAAATATCTTAAAGTTTCTGAGCAGAAATAAGTTTTCAAAAGAATTTGAGGTCATCCTAAACACATAGATTGAAACCGAACCCTCTCATCTAGAAGTTCTCAAAATACTTCTTTTCAGGGAAAAAAGAAAAGGTTAAAAAACTTTGAGCAGGAGAAGAAGAAAAAAAGATGGAAACCATAAACTTCAATATCTAAACTGCTTTCTCTCTTGCGACGGTAGACCGAGATTGACAAACTTGAAATAGAGAAAAAAAGGGTAAGCTATACATTTTAGGCTATAAAAAGAATCGATCTATTTCAGAAGCAACTATACATTTACAGTAAAGAAATTTTATTCTATACTTTCCTCTAGCAGAATCATTCAGCAACACATTAGTTTGATAGATTCAATTTCCTAAATAAGATTTTCACCCATAAAAGGGACATTCCGCTTCAGAGCCCTGAATTTTTTTAATGACATTTTTTTTTTATTAACTCAACCAATACTAACTATTTGATCGAAAACTTTGCACGTAGTGTAACTATGTAAGTATGGAATCTTTTATGATGGTGTCTGGGGAATTCTATTTTCTATTTGAGAATTTTTAAACATAGTTTAAATTATTAAATATTGAAGTAACTGGTTGGGAGTAGTATACATAGAAAAGACCAATAACCCATTAATCTATTCAAAATGCCTCATAATCTATCCAAGGGAATTTATATATTTGGCTTACTCTTTACATTTTACCACTTACAGATTTATAAATCCAACAGTACAATTTATACTAATTATAAATTTTTTAAATATTTCTGAAAATTATAATTCCATTCAACTATTTTTTTTTTAAATTTCATATAGTTTACGGAAATTTTTTAGCAAGATTTTTAACTGTATAATGACAAACAAAATCTTTAAAGCTCAATTAAAAAAGAAATGCTTAAACTATGTCTTAAAAATAGTTAAATCACACAGTACAATAGTTAACCAACCTATCTGTAATAATAAAATAAAGCATTCGTGTGACGGTCTATCTGTGTTTATCTCTCTCTATCTCTTTAAATCCTGAATAGTTTGTTCTTCCGTCGTTCTAAAATTTGGACAGTGGGTGAAAGGGCCCTCGATCTTTAATTCGTCCGAAATTTTTCATTAGATTGTTTGGGAGAAACATGTCAAAAATGGAATTTTCTGATTGGTTTTGCATTATAACCATTCTTTTCAACAAAACTATAGATAGTTCTATTTTATTTTTCAAGGAAGGTAAAATCATTGATTTTGTTAGTTTATACATATTACTCTTCTGATTTGAAAGATGAGTTTATTGCTCGGTTTTTTTAATAAATAATTATGTGATATTAGCTATATCAGATAAGCCCAATGATCAACGTAAGCATGGTAGCATACGCGGACTACATCGCAATTTTTTATTCAAAATTTATTTGATACTGAGTGTATATTTTGTTTATAGTTGAATGAAAAATAATAATTGAAGTTAAAAAAAAGTTATTTACTTAAAACAAATTGCCAGGCAAATGATACTAATTCATTAAAAAGAAATTTAAGAAATCTTCATTCTATGATTGACGCCAATGATGCTTAATTAATTTTTGATCGCCTTCCAAGGAGATGAACCGGGTTCGAATCCCGGTTCGATTCCGATGGCTGATCGATACGAATTCAGCATTCCGGCTTGCCCCGACCACAATGTTGACGTAAAATACCATCAGTGGTAGATGGATCATGAGTTAGAGTCCCCTCGCCATCAGGCTAACTGTAGGTGGTTTTCGTGGTTTTTCTCTCCATATAATGCAAATGAGGGTTAGTTCCCTCAATAAGTCATCCACGAAGGCAGATTTCTCCCAATACTTGATTCAGGATTTTCTTGTCTTTTGGATTGGGTTCAAAATTATAAGGCTACGTAGTTAAACATTAGTAGTCGTAAACTTAAAATTGGGTCGGCTGTTAAACGATGGTTATAAAATAAAATCGACACTAAATAAATTAATAAGTAAACTATGTACAAAATGCATAGTACTAAATTTTTAAAAAATGGCACTAATTTGCTTAAAAACATAAAAAAAGCATGATACTATGCTGTTGTTTCTAATCCCCAAGAGGTCCATCCCAATTAGACCAGTTCCATAAGTCCTAAAATGTCCAGGAAGTCTAAAAACAGATGAGGGTTTGAAAAAACCTCGTCGATCTTAAAATCGATACAGTTTAGAATATGCTCAGGCAAAGCCTGAGCAGTCCTACATTTAGTGCCAAGTCCAAAAGTCTTTTGCCCCTGAACATACGAGAGACAC